TAACTGGTATAATTCGTGGTGTTCATATGCAAAAGATGGTTTCTTACCATGACTATAAATACGAGATAGTGACAATAGTTATAACATGTGGGCTTATTTCATAAGAAACCAATATTTAGTCATGACCAGTTGTATGTTGTTGTCTCCCGTGTCACAAACAGAAATGGTTTGAAAATCCTATTTTGTGGCGATGATAGCGTGCCAAATAATCAAGCCATTAACATTGATATAAGGAAGATAGTATATAGATTTTATTTTCATTATATTTATTAATTTATTAATTATTAATGGCATGTTCTTTCATTTAGTAAGTAATTTGAATTTTAACTGGACATCCCTTTATAAAAGGGACGTAGATAATAAACACCCGTGCATCGCACGGGCACTGTACTAGCAGTGTGAAATTGTCAACAAAATGTCAACAAAGTCAGTGTGAATTAATTGTCAACAAAAATTAATAACTAGCAATAAGAATTATCTAATCATAACTACAAGTCAGTGTGAAAACTTTGTTAGACAATTAATAAGTTTTCCCTTATGATCTCTTATGCCATGACTATAAATAAGAGTCATGGTCAATCATTATCGCATGTGGGCTTATTTCTTAAGAACCAGTGTTTAGTCATGCCAGTTGTATGTTGCTGTCTCTCATGTCACAAACAGAATTGGTTTGAAAATCTTAATTTGTGGCGAAGATGACGTGCCAAAGAATCAAACTATAAACAATGTATATAAGGAAGTGTTCAATAATATATATTTTTTTTTTTGTTTTTTTGTACTTTTCTAATAATCCTTACATTTTACATTTTTAGATAAGTTTTTTTTTTTTTGTAAGTAAGCACTTTAAATTGTAATTGAAAATTGCTTTTCAAAAGGGACGAAGATAATTAACCCCCGTGCATCGCACGGGAAGTGTACTAGTTATGAGAATACGGTTTATAAATAATTCAAAGTAAAACGGATTTTGAGAATCCGTTTTACCTGTAGATATAAATAAAAATAAATTCTTCTTCTTCCCTACGTGAACATAACAGAGAGCGAGCAGAGAGTTTTTGCAAAAGAAAAGAGAAGAGCAGAAGAGAAGAGAAGGATTCAACACCAAATTCATCAAGCAAGTTATCATTTCTTGTCATTTTTCTTCTATATTCACGATTTGAATGATGAATTGAGGTATAAATGGTGTGTTTGTAGCAAAAAATGATGTTAGGGTTAACAATTTTTTCTATTTTTCATTTGTTTTGATATTTAATTTGTGAATTTGTAATGATTGAGATATGTTGATGAATTGTTGATATGTTTGTGTGATAAATTGATGGGTTATTTTGAAATTGATTAGGGTTTTGTAGTTTGGAGTTTGTTTGGAAAACTATGTTTTGAAGGTGTTCGATCAAATGTCTCAAAGGGATTGTTGTATATATTGATGATATATTGTTGTACATATGGTAGGGTTTCAAAATATTCGATATTATAAGTCCATTTTCGAATCATTGAGCTTGTTTGAATGTGTAGAGGCTTTAAATATTTTGAATTTAATTGTTTGTGTTCTTCGATTTCTCGAATTTGGACGTGTATAGATATAATGAACTAGTGTTTGAAAGCATGTTATTTGATATTAGTTGGATTATGTTAGCCTTGTGTGTCGATGTTGTTATTGGATATGAAGTTTTTTGATGTTCCGCCTATTTATTTTATTGAAAATTATGCTTTCTTATATCTAATGATTTTTTAATTTTTTATTTTTTTAGAAAATGGCATCCTACTCACAGCCGCAGCGCTACAGCGTACATCCCGGTCCGATGGATCGGTCCCTTCTATACCTTCAGGAAAACCACCGGTCCAGAGCTGTATACGATGATGTGGAGGGATATCGTCACGGCGTGGTTAGAACCCGCCGTTTCGACAGTTAGTTTTGGAAGGCGTTGGAGGTACAACATTACAAAGTCTGGGAGGTGATCGAAAGGACCGGTTTCGGGCCGCTTTTCAAAATGGACAGAATACCGATGAAAAACAGCTTGATTACATGTCTAGTGGAGAGGTGGCGTCTGGAGACAAACACCTTCCACTTTGACTTCGGGGAGGCTATAATAACGCTGCAGGACGTACAAGTCCTTTTTGGTCTCCCGATCGATGGAATGCCGTGTTGGGGACAGACAATTGACCACGAACCCCACGAATAGCAAGAACACTGTGTCGATTATCTAGGGTTCGAGCCCACAGTCCAGGTAATTTTTTTTCTACATTTTTTTTTTGTTTTTGTTTATTCCATTCGTTAATTTTCAATATATATATAACACTCTCAGACTGACGACGACCCGGAGGGCATCCCGGAACTTACAGGCTAGTTTTTGAAGACCTCGGCAATTGAAAAGGAGTGCTATAGACCGCTAACAAATGAAGAGCATCCCTCTCGCTACGAAGAGAGGGAGAGGGCGCTTATACTCTGGTGTATCGGGTCATTTTTCTTCCCCGATCAGAGGGTGAATGGGGTCATGCTGTACTGGATGCAGCACTTGCTCGAGATCGATGAGATCAAGCAGTACAGCTGGGGTTCAGCTGTCTTGGCCGGGGTCTATAGAGCGCTCACCACGACCTCCAGAGCCGGGGAAGCCTGGATCAAGAACTGTGTTCAATTGATTCAGGTAAATAAATGTACTTACTTGTTATTACTCCATTCATTTTTTATTATACTTTATCCTAATATATATTAACCAAATATTTATGTCGATATCTGTAGGTTTGGGCATGGGAACGTATCCCTCGTATTAGCCCAAAAATGAGGGATACCAACTTTGTCAGAGTTCATGGTTGTCCCTTAGGAGGAAGGTAATCACATTTATTTATATTTAATACTTAGAATATTTCAAATATAAAATTTTGTGATTAATTTTTTTTATTATGTGATTTTTAAGGTGGGCGGGACGGAGGAATATGAAACACATAGGAAAGGGAACAACCGCTATCCGAGATCAATTAACAGGGCTGAGAGAGAATGATGTAAGATTTTATTAAGTAATATTGATTATTATATATATTTGTTTTTTTTTTTAATTTTTTTATAACTTAATTTCTAGTTATTATTATTATTTTTTTACAGTTCAATTGGGTGACATACAAGCGCCACCTGGACGAGGGTACTCTCCCGACCCCGTGTATAGAAGGTTCACACCTCTGGATGTATAGAGGGTGGATCTTCTGTTGGGATGTTCGTGAGCAGCACCTGACTGATAGGGTCATCCGTCAGTTTGGGTGTTGCCAAGCCATCCCCGACCTTCCGATAATTAGGGGTTTGACTGAGTACCAGACACACCACCGAGGCCAGGGAATGACTGAGAGGGCATTCTATGATTGGGTGGAGTCTCATGGAGCACTTGGAAATGTTTGAGTCCAAGAAAGAGCCCAACATGTCCTCCCACATTACCCTGTGGAGTCGTTCCTTGAGCCTGAGTCGGGTTACCTTGATTGGTTTCACTATATGACTGTGAGACTAATCAGTAATCCTGGCAACAACCCGGTGGTCCAACAGGAGGAGGCTTTCATCCAATGTTCGAGCAGGGGATGTGCAGTGTAAGTGTTAATAAATTGTGTTTTTTTTTATTATTATTATTAATTTTTTTTGGTTTAATGGTAATAATTTTCAATTTAATTTTCAGCCCAATGCCATGGAGGGGGTCTATAGCTTGTTATCGACTCTTGACTTTAGTAGACTCACCCCAGAGGAGCAGTCCATAATCGCACAGTCCCGAAATATGCTCTACAGTGGACTGACTATCGGAGGACAAGGGGTCACGCAAGGGACGTCGTCGAGTCAAGTTCTATCTCAAGAGAGCTACGTCCAACCCCAACCGACGCAGTCGCACCGGGCGAGGCTTCGACCTGCTGCCAATATTGGTGGCCGTAGGAGACGCCGTGTCCGTGAACTAAATGCCGACACCGTGCCTGCCGACACCGCACCTCCCAACACCGTGCCTCCCAATACCGTGTCTGAGGGACAAGAATAAGGTAAGATTTAATTTATTTATTTATTTATTGTCAAGTACAATTTCTGATTTTCTTAAAATGTCAATTATTCAGATATAGAAGAAGAAGCTGCCACGCCCACAGCCTCGTCTTCTTTACAGACGTACCAGCGTCGGAAGGGCTCCCGAGAGCGCAGACCTCCGGATCAATTCACTCCTAGCAACTATTAGGAAATTTATGGACATTTTTTTTTTCTTGACTTTTGTGTAATTAAATTCACACATATTGGTATTTTGAATAAATTATTGTGCTTCAATTTTGTTTGTGGAATTGATATATTTTGGATGAATATTTGGTTGTTGAATATTTGGTTGTGGAATCGATTTCGACAAACAGGTGTTCTATTTTATTTCTGTTGTAAAATTGTTGTTTCTGTACAGTAAAACGTATTTTCATAATACGTTTTACATTTTTTTTATTGAAAAACATATTGTCAGAATACAACCGTATTCTGAAAATACGTTTTCAATTTAGAAAAAAATCACTTTATAATAATTTTACAAATTTTTTATATAATTTATATAAAAGTTATTTAAAAAAGAAACGTATATCGAAAATACGTTTTCGTATGTAAAACGTATTTAGAAAATACGTTTTTCATAAAACGTATTATGAAAATACGGTTTAATTTGATTTAATTTTCTTAATCACGTTTTATATTAATGTAATTAAGTTAATCACGTTTAAAAATTTAATTCGTCATAAAACATAATATGGGAATACGTTTTAATTTATAAACGTATTCTTAGAATACGTTTTTCTATGTAAAACGTATTCTGAGAATACGTCTGTTTTATTTTGGTCGACCCTCTTTTTTTTTTGTCCAGTTAATTTTTTTTTGATTTAAATAATAAATTCAATCTCATCTCCTCTCCATAGGATTCCCAGCAAACGGTGTGTGGGGGTGAATTTTATCCTACCAAAAAGAGACGCGAGAGTCCACCTAGCTAGCTATAGGCAATATTAATTAGTGTGTTAACATTCTATCTGTCTCTCTTAAAGTAGTTATCCCACTCGTGCTGTTTGGTGGTTCCAAATGCATAATACTTCCAACTGAACTCTGGATCAAATTCAGCGCTCGAATTCCTCCCTTCCTTCATCTCCCTCCTCAACCCATCAACTCTCTGGACCACTCCTCTTATCGCCAAATCAAACGCATCCTCGGTTTTCTCCAGCCTCGACCTGTGGTCCGCATAGATCACGTTTGGTATCAGCTTTATCACCTTCTCCCTCATGGCCGCCACCCTCGAGGCCGGTATGCGGGACAACACCCTATCGATGCTGACCTTGAGATAGAGTCGCAAAAAACATCAATTAATGAATCAAAAGATGAATGAAGAAGAAGAGATATTCGAGTTTAATTAATTAAAGCAACGCAAGCTACCTTGTGGGTCTTGACGTCCCCCTCCGGTATGAGCACCGAGTAAGAACCAAAATCGGAGGGCAGGTGCCAAAGGTACTGCACGTATGCTGAGGCGGGAGAGAAGAAGACGGGGATGCAACCTGCGAGTATGGAGTCAAAAGTGGACCTCCTGGTGAAGGAGTCCCCTGATGGCTGCAGGCAAAAAACAGATCCTTGAAACATCCTTATCAGGTTGGCCGGCTTGAGGCAGTTGTGTTTGTCGTCCTTGCAGTGGACCATCTTGCACCTCTTGCTGGCTGCCCCACACTGGGCCATGATCTCCCCACGGATGGAGCCCTCCATGTTGGGCCGAGGGGCTCCAGCAAAGCAGAAGAGGGAACGCCTCCTCTGCCTGCGCATCCTCCCCTGCCACTCATGCACCTGCGCGTCGCTCGACGGGTGGAAGTAGGTCGGGTAGGGTATCGCAAAGTCATTGGGGTGCCAGGGGCTGGACTCTATTGTTATCATCGTCATCTTCTGGGACTCGGGGGCCACCATCAGGCTGCTCCCCCAGTCAGAGTCCGCGTCCCCCGACCTGCGCAAGTCCCACGTGATGCGGCCTGACACTAGAAAGTGGTCCCGACCGTCCATCACCCTCCACTGGGGCCGTGAGCGCAGGAGGGCAAATAGGTCAGTGAGGTCGGCGTCCTTCACAGAGGCATTGTAAGTGTCCCACAGGAAGCGGGAGACATCGAGGCCTGGGTAGTAGGGCACGTAGATGGCTGCCGCCTTGGAGGAGTCGTTGGTGAGGCAGTCGTAGCGCTGCATGCGGCTGTGGAATATGACGTCAAGGGAAAACTGGTGGGTGACGTACCAGCAGGAGGAGGAGAGCCTCTCTCCCAGGCCGCCATTACTAAAGTAGGGGCACACGTTGTGCCATTTGTTGAGGAGCTTGCAGTCCTTAATGTAGTCCGAGTTGAACCGTGATGGGAGGTCCTGGACGTAAATGTATCTCCCCCCGCACCCACTTCTTCTTTTCTTTTCTTTATCTTCTTCTTCAACTTTCGGTAGTGAAGGTTCGACTTCTTTCTCGAGATCATCCATCTCCGTTTCAATATATGTTGTCACGTTACGTGGTGGCTCGTTCTCGTTGTCGTTTGGGTTGAGATTGACATCTGAAATGACTTGGGAAGAATTGTTGGATCTAATAACAATGTCATTGTCGGATCTGCTCGGATTTTCTTGTGAGACGGACGAGGGGCCAGGGAGAGAAGACCGGTCGAAGCCGCAGAGCAACATGTACCAGAAAAAGAACAAAATAAAGAAAAACAACCACAGCTTTTTCCTGGCCGGTCTGGCCGAGGTCTGGTTTTCAGACGTCATTTTTGGTTGACGGATTCCTCTTTTTTGGGTCATCAACCTTCTGCTACATTTTTCCTCTTAATTCCGTTGATTTCATCGCAGTACTTGCGGAGGTCACTTGACTGTAATAAACGTATGCGCCAAATTGTACGGTGAAACATGTTTTTTGGTGTAACCAAAGTTTTTGTATCAAATGATGTATTTATTATTCTTTCGATTAGGTGTGTACGTGTGATGTGTGTGTGAGTGAGTGCGTGAGTTATGTTGTGAAGAAAATGGATGGCAAGGCCATATATACACACCTTCTTGTTTTGTTTGAGAAACTAGTGCCACTATTATAGCAGAGAAAAGGTAGGATGAATGAGTGAAATTAGACCACATTCATATATGTATTTGTGGAGGTTTGTTAAAGGTAGGATGAATGAGTGAAGTTGGACCATTCACACACACACACACACATATATATATATAGTGAGAGAGAGAGAGAGAGAAAAAAAAAATAGTTATTTTCACCCAATTTTGAAGTCGTGCTAAGTTTTTCACACCGCCTAATAAGAAGTTAAGTTTTTCACCCCATAAAGTACGAAGAGATATGCGAAAAACTATACGATAGATAGACGACTAGTATGAGCATGGGCGAGAAAATTATGAGTTAAAGTATGCGACGAATATGCGGAGATTCGATGTACGATTCGGTCAATCGCGGTCCGTCGCCCATTAAATAGTTATTTTTGTTAGGCGAATGAACTGCGACTATTAGTCGAAAAAATTATTCTGCGACATACCAATGTCGCATATTATTCACATAATTGGTGCATAATAAGTTTTTTTCGTAT